CTATATATATATATATATATATATATATATATATATATATATATATATATATATATATATATATATATATATATATATATATATATATATATATATAACTCCTATTTAACAAAGAAAAATTCATATCACAACATTCATATCACAAAAATAGGGGTGGCCACAAGGAGAGGGTGGCGTCAACTCCTAATATGCCTAAGGCTTCCACGTGCTAACCTCAAATAAGTCTTGACAACATTAAGACTTTTTAAGTTTTAAATACATTGAGAATTTCTAAAATCTAAAGATATTAGGACTATCCAAGTCCTAACTTTATAAATATTCTCTAATTTTTAATTTAGTTAGGACTCCACGTCTTGTACAACTATAAAAGGATTAAGATATCCTATCCAAAACATTCCCAAAGCAACCAATAAGCCGATAGTAAGAGTCAAACTTATCTTAGTTTTTTTGACCGTACAATAGCAAAGAACAACAAAAAGGGAGAGAAAAAATCTACGTAGTGTAGCCAATTTCTCCTGGCCACAGTCATCTTCCTCACATTCTAGTAGCCCAAAGCTTCATCTAACTGCTACTAGAAGTTCTCATTGCCTATTGTCTATTATCCAAACTTCAAAAGGAGATTCCAATATTGAAAAGAGAAGGAGACTGAAAATCGACAATGATCATAACCTACCTAGAGCACCGATGTATTGTCTAAAGACAATCTACATTCTCACATTCTCATACGCTTTCTATTACTCTTTTTATTCTATAATTTCAAGTTTTCTAGTTAGTATTTTGACTTTACAAATAATATAGGTTTTTTTTTTTCATCACCAAGGAATTCATCGATGAGGTGATATGTGATATGGTTCTACTTGATATATGCCAAGTCATCCTTGGAAGGTCATACTTATGGGATTAAGATGTTATTTGCTTTTGCTAACTCTAGAAGTATCAACTTTAGAAAGACGAAAATAAATTCTTTATCAGCGGAGATCAGAATGATTTGATAGAGGATTTGACATCCATTGGCCAGGAGGATGGTGATTGTTTGTTGAGAACCAAAACCTTCCTTCAATATGATGAAAGAGAAGGAGAAGCCAAAAGGGATAGTAAAGAGTTTAAAGCCTAAAAAATTCCAACAAAGCCCCCAAGTCAATGGTGATCAATAACGAGGAGAACACCATCAAAACTATGCATGTAGACAACATGACTAGCCTTTGGCAACCCTAACCACATTGAGGGACTAAAGAAAAACCTCCAACCTATAGACGGAGAGAGAAGAAGCCACCAAGCAAGATTTAACAATACGTAAATCACCCAATTAGAAGAGTTATGATTAGAGACAATCTTAATAACTCTCGACCAAACCGACCAAGCTCTATTAAGGGGCCTCTTAAAGTTTTAAAGCCCTATTTGATCAAGAAAAGTCTATATTATAATAGTTCACTTATCTTAATCTCAATCCTAGTTAGACTAAGATTAACGTAGCCCTCACCCAAATAGGAGCAACAACAAGGAGAGGATGGAGCCAACTCTTAATAAGAGTAGGACATTCAAGTGCCAAATTTAAACAAGTCTTAACGATATTAAAACTTTTCAAGTCTTAAATACATTACGATTGAAAATCATGGGAGGAGATTTCAACAACGAAGAGAAGAGATTGAAAATCAATATTGACTGTAACTTATCGAGAGCACTGACATGAGGCCCAAAGATAATTTAGGTTTTCACACTCATAAACTTTATATTATGTTTTTTATTCTATTATTTCAAGTTTGTAGTTAATACTTTGACTTTATAAATAATGGAGGTTATTTTCTTTTAGTTTTGTGCTTGATTTTTCTATGATAATTCTCTTTTGTACTAATACTTTCATCCGAAAGATTACATCGAGTCGACATATCATCAAACCCGAAACTCATGTGGATCAGGGATCTCACATGTGAACATCCAAATATCATGCTATCTTTAACCCAACATGTCGATCAAACACCTCATGGTAGGTATAGATCTTATATTAATGATATTTAGTAGATCAATCTCCTCATGCATTGATAAGGGGATCTTACATATTGCTAATAGGTCTATTAATCTAGTCATATTCTCAATAAAATTACTATATATGTATTGATAAAGGGATCTTACACTGGGATATCCAAACGCCACATCGTTGTTAGCCCAACACATCAACCAAGCACGTCACATAATTGGTATGCCACAAATCCATATTAATTATAGCGTTTGATGACTTCCTGTCCAAACAATGCACGTGGATTCTACAATATCATTTGTATGAATTAATTTTCAGTTTCCTTAATCACTCGAATGGCTTCTATATATAAGAGAGACATTCTATATAACTCTCAACCTTTCAAATACTGTGAATTCTTTAGCTTTCCAATATTAATCTAATTATTGAATGAGTTTTTATCCAACAAAAAGCATGGCATTAAAATTTTTAATATTTTTTATTGATTAATTCTTTGGAGGCTGGAAATACTCCGCCTACTGTAAAACTAAGTAATGGTGCTGTGTGGATCGGTTTGCTTCATCCTCGCCTCTTCCACACGAACGAGATGAAGAAATGGTACAACGATGACAACTAAGAAATGGTACGTTCTCAGATCGCCTTAAACTTTAATAATCTCGAAACCATCAGGAACTGATGAGAACGAACATGGTTCGTATATATTGTTAACGATCAAACCAATCCTGACAGCGGTGCCAAATCCTCGATTGGAATTGAAGAGAGAGAAGACGATCTTAGATATCCCTGAAAGGCAAAAGGCACCAAATTTTGTGCTCATCGATCA